TTCATTAACTTGTTGTTCACCATCAAACGATTAATAAAGCTTTACCTGATTTATAGTTATTTGTATATTAACAACAAATTCGTAGGAGTATATCTAATAGTAGAAATAATTTTTTTTTGCTTGATCTTAGAAATTTTATTGAGTTGTTATTCGTCATTAATTCAAGTTACTGTATTATCATACTTTGTTGAATCACGAGATCATTATTAATTTGTGTTTTATTATCGATTAGTGAAAATGAAAGTATGTAAATAAATTCATGTGGTGTGGTATCTTTTGACGACATGTGTTGTTTTGTAATTCAAATCGCAAACACTACGATGAATAGTGAAGGTGGAGTTACAGAAAAGAGTGAATCAACTCAAACAATTAGTTCTGCAAAACAATCTCGTGTATGGGCTTATTTTAAAAGAATTTATGGTGATCAAGGTTTAAAGGCGAAATGTTTAGTTGGTGATTGTGCGAAAGTCCTGTCAACACCTCTACATTCGACATCAACATTGATTCGACATTTACGTGATGTTCATGAAGTGGACGAATTTAAGCCGAAGGAAAAGTTGGTACATCGTTCAACACATAAACGTATACCCGTTAAATTAAAAAAGAAATTGGATCGTGCAGTAGTAACAGCAATAATTGAAGACGGACGTAGTTTTGGTGATTTTTTGAAATCTGGTTTTCGAAAATTTATTCAGCTAGTTTTACCGGGTAATAATATTTGGTTGTTCTTATTGAAGTATCATGTTTATTTGTTTCTTCTTTAGGTTACAAGGCTCCACATCGCAATTCGATTAATACTCGGTTAAAATGTCTTCATACAAAGCATTTTTTTATTACGGTGAATTCGTTGTCGAAATTATCATGTATCTCCATTAGTACGGATTTTATGGATACTTCGACCCTTATGGTATATCAGTTATGACAAATAATGAAATTAACAAAACAGAAAATGAAATAAAATATATAATTCCTCAACAAACATCTAACGGTCCAACACAAGCATCATCAACAACATCTTCAAATACAAATGGATCATTAACAACAGAAAAAGAGAAAAAGAAATCATTAATCAATTATTTTCTTGATTCATTAGCTGATGAAGATACTCAACAGGTCAAAAAGCAATCTTCAACGTTAAACAAGATATTAAATGATGAATTTAAAACTTAAAAAAAATTAGCTGGCCACTTTGTATCAATATCAACTGATTTATATCATTCACTTCAATTTTGGAAGAAAAAAAAATTGTTATTGCCCAAATTGGCACCGCTCGCACAAAAATATTTAGCTTCTCCAAGTACCAGTACAAAATCTGAATCTACATTTAGCATATCTGCCTATTATGGCCGTAAACAACGAGCTCCACTTTCTTCAGAAAATCTTGGTTTTTCCGTTTTCCTCAAAGATAAACTATCAAATGAAAATAAATAGAAACTGTATAAATATTTGATGTATTAAAAAAATTCAATTTTTTTGTTTTTTGAACGATTGTTTTTTGTTATCTTTTTCATATTGAATATTTTGAAAAGGTATTTTTCTTGTACATCAGAAGTAAATAAAATTTATATAGTTGACTACTATGTCATAAAGGACAAGTTATTTATCTCTTGAAATTATTTAAGCTTTATTAGTTCTCTATGCTTACGTACAAGACTGAACGCGAAATGTTTGTACATGCATATCTCATCTACAATACGAAGAATTGGTTGTTATAATTTCTTCTCGTTGTAAGTTTTCACATAGTTTTTTACCTAAATCTTTTTCTCAAAGATAATTTATATACATAAGTTAGACAACATCTAACTTTATTTCATGAAGATCTCTTGAAAACCTTATACAATATATTGAAAACGAAGAACATTTCGTTTATCTTATATACAGAAGTTAACATGCTACTTTGATCTTTCAATAAATATATCGGTATGAAGAAAAGCCTTTTTATTGGATGATACAAATACACAGCACATATACTAGAATGAATCATATGATGGCATTTGTGGCAGCTAATGTTGCTCGAATCAAACGAACAGGCATGACTACAATTTTAGGCATGTTGAATATTTTACCACCAGTTCAAATTGAAAAGTGGAACAAATATCAGAAAATATATTCAAATGCTTTAGATGTTGTGAAAGATGAAAGTCTTGGAAGAGTCGGTAAAATTCACTATTTTTTATTTGTTTATCATATGCTATTTTTGTATAATTTTATTTGTAGCAGAAGAAGCAGCAGAACAATCATCTGAAGCTGCTGATCATGAAGGAGTTACAAATATCAAAGTTTCAATTGATGGTACTTGGCTAACTCCTCGTGGTCATTCTAGTTTGCATGGAGTCGCAACTGTTTGTTCAACAGCGGATCCACCAAAAGTATTAGACTTCGAATGTCTAAGTCGGCCCTGCACTACTTGTTCTGGCTTATTAGCGATTAGAGAACACAATCCTGAAATGTATCAACAACTTTTAGCAGAACATATCGAGAGTGGTTGTGAAGTTTATATGAAACTATAAGATGTCTGATGAAACTTACTAAAGAAAGATTCGTAATTGAAAAGTAATACGACTAAAGATTTATAAGTAACAAATAATAGAGGGGAGAAAAATTTCCATGTCTTTACACATTCAATTTACTTATGCCTGGCTACTTTTAAAAAACAGAAAAAAGTTCTTAATAATTAATGAATGATTGGTTAACTAATTGAAATGCAGTCTAGATATAGATTTTTCATCCATGATTACCTGTGAATACGTATTATCGCAATTTTTGGTGCCTTTTTATAATTAACTGATAAATAAAAATTAATTAATTAATTAATCAAAATTCACTTCAGATTCACGTTCTTTGTTCTGATCTGAGTTAACTCAGTTTTTCCAGGAAAAACGTTAATTAGTCATAATCAGTTATTTATTTAATTAATTAATTAATTAAATCTGACATCACATTCGGATTCTCCACCTTCAAATACCCCTTTTGCAATCTTATAAAAAATCGGCTCCGCTAATTAATGGCTAATTAGTGATGAGTTAATTAATTAATTAAAACCGACCTCAGATTAGGATTCTTCATACCGAACTACCCTTTGTACCACACAATTAGCAAAAATACTCACGTAGAAACGGAAAAAGAAAATTCTTCTACAAGTTTTTTTTATTTTGCATTTTTCTCGAAACTAGTTTTTTGGGTATCAAAAACCAGTTTTCCTCCTTTTTCTCCGCCATTTCAAGTCCGATCGGGCTGAAAATTGTTTTGGTGAGACTTCAAGTGATTTGGGTTGGGCGTTTTTTTTTTTGGATACCTTTTACCAATCAAGTTTGGCAGGCTTCGCAAAACTTTTAGGATCCAAAAAACCTAGATATTTTGCAAAGTGCTCAGTATTTTGGTTCTCTAGGCTGAAGTATTTGGAATTTTTGAAAAAAAAAACGCTCATCTCGATTGGGTCCATCTACCCACAGTAAAAATTCCAGCTCAAACGGATGAAATCTGTGGATTTGCGGGGGGGGGAGGGAAACTTTTTGCAAGTTTTTGACCTTGGAGTCTCTGGAAGTCCATGAAGATGACGTCTGGCAAATTTGTGTCTATGACAACTTTTGCTCTACTACTCGAGGTCTATCTACCCTGCAAGTCTCAGGAATTTCGTTCCGCCGTTTCTTAGAAACGCTGGAAAGGGGGGTCCCCTTAATGCAGCGTTGTGTTACTTTGGCTACTCTCTCCTCCTTCTTACTGTATATTATCCACTACAAAACATGTCACAGAACATCTATATTAATTCACGAAAGGGAAAAAACCAACAGAAGAACATATAAACATTATTATCAAGAGTTAAATACATGATTATTTTTTCGACGATACTTTTACGGCCAGTCAAATTGAATATCGATGTTCATTTCGATGAATTCCAACCATGCTTCTCTTTTCTCTTTTGAATAATCAACAATCACTTGTAGAGATTGCGTTCTACCATTGATCAGAACCTGTTTTCGAACAATATCCATTCCAACACTACCCAGCATCAAGGTATACGTACTCAGAATATTTCCTTGAGATGACAATTTACTGACATAGATTCCAGTGTTCCAACTCATTCGAGCGCTAATAAAAAGGATGGCTCGTGAACGTATAATGATTTGTTGATGCTTCCTTGGAAGATGAATCTGTTGAGTCATCTTAGTTTTCGAACCAGCAGTAGTTAATGATAGAGCAAAAATGCATTTTTCCCATTTTCTGACGATGTTCAATTGACCATTTCCACTTATTGTCCATCCATTGAGAGTTGATGATGTGTCATTGTCGCACCGAGGAAAACCGTTGAGTATCAAGTTTGAATTGGGCAAGCCACGAGTGCGGTTCGGCAAGATGGCATTGTGTACAGATAGAGCATCGTTCAGTGGAAACGTGTATCCAATATCTTCTGCCCCTGAGAAATCGGTATTAGACAAATTGGTAGCAGTCACGTCAGCGTTCAATCTGGCATTGATAAAAGTAGCAAAAGCCAGAGTACAGCCGAGGAAATAAATTTTCTTAAACGGGTTCAACGAAAGCTCGGTCATGTCAGTGTTCATCAAATTGCAGAATTCGAACTCGATGCCCGAGAGAATAGCTCGACGAAATGTTGATTCTTCGAGACGCGAGTCGGCGAAGAGAAAATTGTTATTAACCAAATTAGCCTCGATGAAATTGGCTCGAATAAGACGAGCCCGAAGGAATCTGGCACTATTCCCGTATGTGCGATAGAATACGGCTTCATCAGCTTTTGCCCGGATAAAAGAGGAAAACGAAATGGTAGCCGAAGAGAAATTCGCTGCGATCATATTTGTCCAGTCGAAAATCGTTCCTGTGCAGTTGGTCTCGACAAAAGTAGCTCCGGTCAAATGCGTTCTGGTAAGATTCCAGAACGAAATGTCTTGCCCGTCGAATGAGGCATTCATTAAGTAGGCACCCATGAGAGAGAGGCCAGGCATCGGAAGAAGAAGTCCTACAGACTGACGACTGATATTCAAATTGTGAAGAGGAGCTCCAGTTAGATCAAGAGGATCATGGCCTGATGTCAGCTGACCAATGTCGTAGAGAAATTGAATGATTCGAAGACAATGAGCACTGTCCACCTGCCGAAAGACGTTGAATGTTTTGGCGCGAGCGATGACATGTATGGTTGAATGGAGAGAAAGTGGCGAACCATTTTTGCGCTCGAGCAGAAGGGCAAGATCTTCGATGTGAGTATGGACGAGAGCATCCATGTGGCGACTCTTCTCCTGCTTGTACCGATCATTGGCAAGACGTTGATCGAGGGCGCGTTGTTCGCGGGAAACATTGAAATCCTGTTCACGCTGCTCCTTAGCCAGTTGTAATCGTTGTTCTTCGATGTGAATCTCATGTTGACGCTGCATGTACGACTCATTCCGAGCTCGATCTGCATTATGAGTATCCACATTCCGTTGAGCCTCGGCAATCTCTTTATCAGTTTCTCGCTGTAGTATAGAAATGTTCTTGTCCAATTCTCTCTGGTCGCGAGCTACCATCAAGTCTTGGCCACGCTGAAGTTCAGCCTGTTGTTGATCATCTCTCCGCTGTACTCTCAGTTCATTTCTTTGATCGAAAGTAAGGACGACAGTAAAGATAGCCAATAGTAACGGTACGAGTAAGTTACCGACAACTTTGAGCCAGTCTTTCAGAGTCAAGCCACAGCAGTCGCATATACAACGATGACAGCAATACACTTCATTTGTTTTCTCCTGATTTTGTACCAACATGACTGGCTGTTATACACCTAGCTAAATAAAAACAAAAACTGAACTCGAGTTTGATTTATGCCGTTCATGAAAAATATTACTCACAATTTCTATTAAATGGCATTGTATTGACAATAACGTCAATATGTTGACTTCCGATTAGATTTCATACATTTTTCAAAATGCCCATCTGTTGTCACAATTGATTTCTTTGCTATCAATCTGGCTCATTGTGGATCGAGGAGAAAAAATGAAGAAGATTAGAGCAATCATAGAATCAAGGGCCCACTTGTAAAATTTATCATGAAGTAAAACATAACAGAGTGAGCAAATATTATGATGAAATAACAATTCTCCAAACATTTTCAGGCAGAATTATAATACGTGTCTCCAAAATTTGTTTTCTACTTATATTGATTCCTAATCTAT